TATTAGACATAATTCTTTAACTGATTGAGCAATAGTTTTATCGAAAAGAAAATCTTTTAAACTCAATCTATTTTTTATTCTTTTTATTAATAATATAGAAATTATTTATTTCTACAATTAAGTGAAATGAACAAATCGAAAGTTAAATCTATTATTATTTTTGTTTTGTTTATTAATTATTTGTCGAAAAACAAATAAAAATAAAATAATTTATAATTATCTTTTGAAGGATTTATTTACTCGTCAAAAAAACAAAAATTTGCTTTGTAAAATTAAATATTCTTTTTTAATATAAATGATTGAATAGTATTTATTGAAAAACAATTAAAAAATTTAATCCGATTAAGATATATTGAAAAATCTTATATTGAGTAAATAAATAAATAAAAATATTCGAGAACTGATTCGACTATTTTTATTCAAAAGACTTGTTATGATGACTATTAAAAAGAATAAGAAAATCGAAATATGATGTTATTTAAAAAAGATTTTAATGTTTATTCTAATCAATCAACTAAAATAAACAATCGAATTAAATTTAATATTAAAATAAATTTTTGTTCAATATATAGGCTGAATTATGTCCACCATCATTAATTGTTCGTTCAGCATTAAGATTACGATCTTGGATATTTTATTGGAAATTAGAACGTCAACGTGTTAGACTGTCACGAACTCTTCCATCGTATCTTACACAAGTTGGTCAAACAGTTCCTAATGCAGCTAACATAATTCCAGTTTTAACAGAACATACTTGTTTATTTGATAATAATTATTATAATATTGAAACAATAAGTATACGTTCATTAATTAAATGTGGACGTTATTTAGTTATCAATTTTGGTAGTTGTACATGACCACCATTTCTTGAAAGTTTAAAATCTTATATGCAACTTGCAAAATATTATTATAATCTTAATTATCCTATTGATTTTATTATTATTTATATTGAAGAAGCACATGCATCAGATCAGTGGAAATTTGATAATCCAAAATATAGTTTTATTAAAAATCATCAAAATATAAAAGATCGATTAGATGCTATTAAAATACTTGTCGATTTAATAAAAATAACTAAACATAATAATATATCGATTTATTCGGATACAATTGATAATCATACAAATCATCTATTTCGTGCATGGCCTGAAAGACTTTATGTTTTACATGATCAAAAGATTTTATATCAAGGTCAACCAGGACCACTTGGTTATTCAATTCCATCGTTGGATTATTTTTTAAGAAAATCTATTTCGATTAGCAATTAATTTTTACGAGTTTCTTCTTTTTGTTTTTATTTTTCATTATTTATGATGATTTGTATCCAAAGTGGTTTGATACCAATGATACAAAACTGAATTTATTATTTTTAGAAAAATAAAAATAAAAATATAG